CATTTCATGTTTTGCATTCTTCAGTCAGTCAGTCTGTGGTAACTAATACATAGGAGTGAAAGTATTCTTAGTTTTATAACAAGTAACTAAACTTGTAAATTGTCACTGACAACTTAATTAATCCATGAAAGCGGCATTAGCTTTCCACACACACACACAAATAATTCCATGTTGTCAGCATTAAGGCAGCTTCTTGTCTCACTGAAGGTATTTCCAGCTGTACTAAACAGACGTTCCCTTGGTACGCTCGTAGGTGGTGCACAGAGATAACGCTGGACAGTATGAACCAAGGTGGGAAATCTTGATATGTTTAATTTCTACCAGTCCAGGAACGGGTGTAAGGTAACCACTATTCGTATTCGTCCCGACCGCAACTATTCGGCCGAATACCGAAAAGTTATTAGGTGTACTATTTGGCCCCGAAGCGAATACGAAGCGAATATTCGGTACAGCCCTAGTATAAAGACTGTTAAAATTAGGGGTCGGAGGGGGAGGCCGAATAGCATAAATAGCTTGATAAATTGATTATATGATTATCGCTATTAACTACTTTTCGTCCTTCTTAGGACGTTATTTTTTGTTGTTTGAAGCCCCACTCTGGCTTTTGCCAGGGGCCGCAATATAGGCAGGTCATCATTATGGCCAAATGTCTGAACGCGGTTTCTGGGACCTCTCCACGGTGATCCTCATCCGCATGGTGGCACTTTGTGTCATCGGGTGTTTATCGCTTGTGTGATGTCCTGGTGGGGTAAAAAATCCAATCCAATCCGATTATATGATATGAAGAATATAAAAAGAAGATAGTTAAAAATACAGTAAACTACACATAACATATTTATAGTCCTGCAGGTTAAAGAAATATTTTATTTAATTAATCAAGATTGACCTTGGCTCTTAGGTTTACCCAGCCTTGAGTGGATACCAGGTAAATTCATGGGAAGTAAATTCGGTCGGCGTGATGTTGACCACATCACCCAGCAAGTTCGGATTGGTCTATAAACAAGAAAACAAAATATCAAGCAATTTACAGGAACTAAAATCCACAAGTAGAAGGTGTACAGAAATGTCAATGTAATCTTTGAAAGTATTCTTTTCAAAGACTAAGATTATGTCTTGCTACTGTGAATTATCAATACAATAACTTGTATCAGTCAATCAATTAGGTGCCATCTCCACAGTGTAGGTTGGCTGCAATGGATCTCCAACAAGCTCTGTCTTTCAGCCTGGTTATACACTCTCTCCGACTACTGTTTGTCCATCTCTTGATGTTATCTCCCACTTGTATCGCGATCTACCTCTAACTCTATTACCCTTGACTCCCCCCTCCACTCCTTCCCCCAAATGTGGCCGTTCCTAGACTTTCCAGAACCTGTTTCCATTCTTCTGTATATGCACATTTCCAGAGACTCAAGTTAAATGTTCCAGTTGCTCGTTCAGTACTCGGGGGGTTGTTTATTGCAGTATGCTTGGGATACATAACATTCAATGATTCTAATTTGTAACGATTTTTATCCCTGTATATGTCAATAGTCGGCTCTGTGGCTAAGTCGATGTGAACCCTTTGTAATGTCGGGGTGCCGGGTTCGATCATAGCTGCGTGCCATGCTCCTTGCGTTGGTTTCGCCAGTGGTATCAGGGGGCCGACCGTCCGGAAAGCAATGGCAAACTACTGGACGTAAATTTGCCTAGAGAAACCACACAACAACCAGGGGCTGCTGGGGTTGGTTCTGCAACGTCCTGTGAAGGATACGCAACTAACCTAAATTAAAATAAAGATAGGGGTGTGGAGGGGGAAGGGCGGGTCGGGTCGGGCCTTGATGGAGCCGGTCTTTTTTTTTTTTTTTTTGATGACCTTTGTTCCCCGGTCGACCTAGCCTCAAAGGTACTAGGTACAGTCCTGTGAAATAAAGAGCTTAAGAATGGCTGAAGGTTAAATAAAGGCCGTTGAAGTAAGTAGTGGCCCAGGTCTAAATGTTATAGTTACCGCCGTTATTTAAAAAAAAAATGTTTACCTGCCACATGATCCCCCGGGTCAGTATCTTAATTTGATTTGATTTGATTCAAGAACCGACATAACAGCACTCGGGGCATTCTCATAAGCGCTCCGTTCCCCATCTTCAGCAGCCAGCGATGAATTCCGATCCAAATGGTGCCAGTAGCATTCTGATTAAACGTCCGTCTTGCCTTTCCTCTGAGCCTCGAGCATCTGCCAGAACCTCTCGTCACTTCCCGCTGCATCAATCCTCTCGTCACTCCCCGCTGCATCAATCCTCTCGTCACTCCCCGCTGCATCAATCCTCTCGTCACTCCCCGCTGCATCAATCTCACCACACTGTGGTGATCCATCTGCTCCTTTGAACTGTACACGCTCTCCCACAAGGCAGTCAGTATCTTAAGTCAGCATCTTAACAATAGATCCAGTTATTTACGCGTTTAAAATAAAGCTCGTTCTCTCTCTCTCTCTCTCTCTCTCTCTCTCTCTCTCTCTCTCTCTCTCTCTCTCTCTCTCTTTTCTCACTCTCTCTCTCTCTCACGCAAACACAGAGAGAGAGAGAGAGAGAGAGAGAAAGATGGGCATGTACCCACTCATCAGCGCTGGCGCGCACGGTTATGGTGTACGTGCATCTACAATTTATCCAAAATTATTCAAGACTAAAGATAGCTGTCCCCGTAAAGTTAAATTATCAACAGAAGACTGGTTTAAACACGGCCGACTCTATATTTATATCAATAGCTCCAGAAGGGCGTTGTTTGAACAAAATGCTTCAGCTTTGAAGAACAAATGGAAATAATGCAAATGCTTGATATGTTCAAAGATAAAAGTAAATAAATGCTAAAAGTGAATAACGAACTAAACTGTTTTATAATGCACATACGTCGCCGCCTTCAAAAAACCAATGTTAAAAACATACTTCACAGAGCAAATATATTTAATCGAATTAGAAAATAAAAAGATAAAATAAAAAGTATATTATCTTTACACTAAATTAAAGTCAAGTTTAAAGAAAAATTATCCACATTACGCCGGCAGATAAATAATGTAAATAACCACCCCATTACTGCCAACATTTCAAATTACTGTGATTGCTGGTCGTTTCATCCCAAGCTGTCATTTCTACATCGACAGTTACTATATTTTTTTTTAACCAATCATGAAGACGCGGAATCTAAAAGACAGCGGGTTGAGATCAAACAATGTTGAATATTTCGAGTTCTAAGACGATTAATGTTGCCAAATTGTTCAAATTGCCTGGGTCTGCTTAAATAAACTTGCATATTATGTGAAGAAAGGTAATCGCGGAGAAAATTCGATATTGTGCCAAATATTTTATGTGAGCAAGTAAATATTAACTAAACATATAAAAGTATTGATATGGAGCGTTTCTGTTAGAATGTAACAACTTTTTCATTAGATATCTTTTACTGCATATAAAATACATTAACACAAATGATGTTTACAAATAAGGTATAGTACTGTCTATTAAGTAACCAACATTTTGAGCATATCGGCTGTTTTTCGAGACACGATGTGCTTTTTAAAAATTCTGCAAGTACCCTGCGACAATATATATATATATATTACGAACATTCTGATATAACAGAATCAATAAAGCTGAGCTTTGGAGAACTAAACAAATTCGTGAATCAAGAGATCATAAAAGGATTCTGGCGTTCGGTAAGACATTCAATGAAGAAACGTCAAAACAATATAGACCTATATATAGAATATCATTGCAATTGAATCCACATTGTCAAAAGAATTGACGAAGAAAAATAAACACGGAGAAGGTAATTAGATATAGGAGATAACAAAAGTATGGAGAGAATGAGTGGTCTGGTAAGCCAAACACAATAGCAAATGATTTCGCTACTTATTTGGAGTTGTTTAAAAGCCTACGCTCTAATGGGGTGCTGTAGGGTAGAAGAAGTAACTCTTGACAATCTTTTATAATGTTACATGTTAACCATAGAGGAATACTATAATAAGCTATGTAAACAGGTCAGAACAACACAAGAACGCATTTCTAGAACCATATATTTTATTTGATGAGGCAGAAAAAGTCATTAAGCAGTCTCCCAAATATAAGGCACCAGGAGCTGATAAATTACCAACAGACCTCATCCATGCAACTGGTGAGAGCAGCGTCAGATAGCTTCACATAATAATTAATGCAGCACGGGGACAACAAACGGCTCTTATTGCCTGGCAACATGCACTATTTACAAAATTATGGAAGAACAAAGGAAGTAAGCGAGAATGCAGTCAAGAGACATCTCTCTTTTATGGTATGTCAAAATAATAGAAACGAGGCTGAGACCAGTGATAGAACCACTGTTGGCAGAAGAACAGATGGGGTTTAGGAGAAATAGAAGCTGCATAGATGCAATCTTTACACTTAAACACTAAATCGAAAAAAAAAAAAAAAAAAACGTCGAATAGGATAAGAAACCATTTGTTGTGTTTGTAGACCGGGTGAAGGCATTCGACAGTCGATAGACAAGTATTTTGGAAAGTAATGGCTTGGTATGGAGTAAGCGAACATCTCATCGGAGTGTGCAACATGTTGTATCTGGACTGTAGAAAGTGAACGTTTACAATTACGGTGGTAATTTTACAAGTTCAATAATAATAATAATAATAATAATAATAATAATAATAATAATAATAATAATAATAATCATAATAATAATAATAATAATAATAAAGCACTGATATCTTGGGTCAACAAAGACTATAAAATACTGCAACAGCAGTATGCGAGCGATTATAACAAAGACAATAGACCGGATAATATTAACATTATAAACACCCCCCCCCCCCCCCCATTTTTTATACCACAGAAAAATTGTTTGCCAATTATCCGAAAGGTGCAGGTATACAATCGTTGTAAATAAATTTTCTGTGGTTTCGATATTATAAAATCAAATTATGCAATACAGTTGTCAAGAAATAATTTATCAACATATGTAATTGCAGTGAGCCCTGTTTTTCGTGAGATATGCTGACCGAACTCTGCCTAATAGCTACAGCTTTTGACAATGACTCTTTCATCTCGAATTCAAATACAGAAACATATTATATAAGCAGAGAACAGTCTGACTATTATATAAACGTAAGTATGTTTCTAATGTAAATTATAAGTTTTCGCTATCTAGACTGGCCAGCAAATATGTGCAACTATCGTAAACCACAGCATATCGTGTCAACCGCAGAAGAGGAAGAAGAAGAAGAAGAAGAAGAAGAAGAAGAAGAAGAAGAAGAAGAAGAAGAAGAAGAAGAAGAAGAAGAAAAAGAAGAAGAAGAAGAAGAAGAAGAAGAAGAAGAAGAAGAAGAAGAAGAAGAAGAAGAAGAAGAAGAAGAAGTAAAAATAGAAAGAAGAAGAAGAAGAAGAAGAAGAAGAAGAAGAAGAAGAAGAAGAAGAAGAAGAAGAAGAAGAAGAAGAAGAAGAAGAAGATGATGATGATGAAGAAGAAGGAGAGGAGGAGAGAGAAGAAGCACATCGTGTCAACCGTAGAACAGAAGGAGGAGGAGAGGAGGAGGAAGGAAGAAGAAGAAGAAGAAGAAGAAGAAGAAGAAGAAGAAGAAGAAGAAGAAGAAGAAGAAGAAAAGAAGAAGAAGAAGAAGAAGAAAGAAGAAGAAGAAGAAGAAGAAGAAGAAGAAGAAGAAGAAGAAGAAGAAGAAGAAGAAGAAGAAGAAGAAGAAGAAGAAGAAGAATAAGAAGAAAAAGAAGAAGAAGAAGCAGCAGAAAGAAAAGAAAAAGAAGAAGAAGACGAGGAGGAGGAAGATGTGGAGGAAGGGGAAAAGAAGCTCTAATATATCATCCTTTTATTCTCTTATTTCCACTCCTCTTCCTTCTTTCCATCCTTCTTGTTCGCAATTCTCCTTCTCCGGTTTTTTTTTTTTCTTCTTTATTTTCTACCAACCACTAGGGGTACTTTTACTACTACCACAACAACAACAACTACTACTGCTGCTGCTGCTGTTGCTAATACTATTACCATGCTGTTTTCTAGAACAAAAGCGCCGGTATTCACCATAAAGTATCTTAAAAAGGTGCCGCTACTCACCATAAAGTATCTTAAAAAGGTGCCGGTACTCACCATAAAGTATACTAAAAAGGTGCCGGTACTCACCATAAAGTATACTAAAAAGGTGCCGGTACTCACCATAAAGTATACTAAAATGGTGCCGGTACTCATCATAAAGTATACTAAAGTGGTGCCGGTACTCACCATAAAGTATATTAAAAAGGTGCCGGTACTCACCATAAAGTATCTTAAAAAGGTGCCGGTACTCACCATAAAGTATCTTGAAAAGGTGCCGGTACTCACCATAAAGTACACTAAAATGGTGTCGGTACTCACCATAAAGTATCATAAAAAGGTGCCGGCACTCATTATAAAGTATACTAAAAGGTGCCGGTACTCACAATAAAGTATCATAAAAAGGTGCCGGTACTTACAATGAAGTATACTAAAAAGGTGCCGGTACTCACAATAAAGTATACTAAAAAGGTGCCGGTACTCACAATAAAGTATACTAAAAAGGTGCCGGTACTCACCATAAAGTATCATAAAATGGTGCCGGTACTCATCATAAAGTATCATAAAAAGGTGCCGGTACTCACAATAAAGTATCATAAAAAGGTGCCAGTACTCACAATAAAGTATCATAAAAAGGTGCCGGTACTCACAATAAAGTATACTAAAAAGGTGCCGGTACTCACCATAAAGTATACTAAAAAGGTGCCGGTACTCACAATAAAGTATCATAAAAAGGTGCCGGTACTCACAATAAAGTATACTAAAAAGGTGCCGGTACTCACCATAAAGTATACTAAAAGGTGCCGGTACTCACTATAAAGTATACTAAAAAGGTGCCGGTACTCACAATAAAGTATACTAAAAAGGTGTAGGTACTCACAATAAAGTATCCTAAAAAGGTGCCGGTACTCACCATAAAGTATCCTAAAAATGTGGCGGTACTCACCATAATGTATCATAAAAAGGTGCCGGTACTCACCATAAAGTATACTAAAAAGGTGCCGGTACTCACCATAGGGTATCATATAAAGGTGCCGGTACTCACCATAAAGTATCATAATAAGGTGCCGGTACTCACTATAAAGAATCCTAAAAATGTGCCGGTTCTCACCATAAAGTATTCTAAAAAGGCGCCGTACTCGACACAAAGTGACTGTCAAAAAAAAAATATGTTTAAAAACATGCGGGTATCGTGTATCGTTTCGTACCGCCAGGAGGAAAAAGGGGGGGGGGGGGGGTGGGAGCTGACTACTACTCTTACTTATACAACAGCTATTTCCACTGCTTGTGTGTTATTTTCTATTTACGAAACAATGTATTTGCTTTTAGATTATCATGAAAGTCAAGGCTGCACTTCACTGGATGTCAGCTATCATGTGTTCACTGGCCTTGTTGTCATTTACCAGAGCCAAAGTTTGCAACACCAGCAAAGGCTTCCTTACTGCGCTGAATTTGTTTGAACTTGTGGCATCAGTGACTAGTATTGGTGGGTTCATAAATAAAACATTTATATACAGTACTACTGAAACAGAGTCTACGTTTATCTTCTTCCTTCTCTGAAATTCCACTGTGGTGCAAGTGCAGTCATCTAGTGGACATATCGTTCCTCTCCTGGGTTGATCTGGCAACTTAGACACACAGTTTAAAAAAAATATATCTCAACAAGGGTTGGTCAAGGAGGTGTGGTCCATTAGTGACGATCTCCTTCTCCCTCTTCGCTGACCTCCTCCGTGTCCACACCCGAATCCTCCTCCAGTCCCGGTTCCAGTGGGGGCTGAAGGATGACTCCAAAATCGACTCGACTTAAACGATATACTTGCTCTTGTCCTTGATCATCGATCATCACGATCATCAGATCATACAAAACCCTACGTCGTCTAATATAAATTTTCAGGGAGAACATTTCCACTTTCTTGTGGTACAAAAGGGCGAGAAAAATGGCAACCTTTGCAACTACACTAACAACTGTACGTCGAAATATGTATATAAACTCAGCCCCTAACGTTTGGCTATGGGCGTTAATATACGCCTCTCTCTCTCTCTCTCTCTCTCTCTCTCTCTCTCTCTCTCTCTCTCTATATGCTGGCCGGTGCTCCTCTCCTGTTATGGAGTCCGGGCAGTCGCTTATATAGAACCTTCAAGCGATGTGTTTTTCAAACCGCTACTGCGTTTCTAAAATATGAGTTTAGGATAATAATTAAAAAAATGTTGACATTTTATTTTCGTGTACTTTAAGGGAGGGTCACGTGATGTCTAGCCAAACTGCTGGTAGGTCTCTAGAATCTCAGGCCAAGGACACCATATGCTTTTAGTCGGTCACTAGGCTTAGTGAAAAGGTTCCAAAAACAAGGGTGAAGGACATGATAGGGCCTGTTGTTTCAACCGCTCCACAATGAGAATCAATTTAGGTAGGGACTCTGTTACACTACTCTTCTCGGCTTAGTCTCTTAGGGTTCACTGTTCAGAGCCGATTTATGAGCGAGCGTCTGGCCGCTACTCCACGGCAGCTCCCTTGACTGTATGTGTTTATATACATATACATGTGTGTGTGCAGTCACATATACCTGCATTCCAACGTGAACGTGCACGCGCACGCGCGTGTATATAAGATATATATATATATATATATATATATATATATATATATATATATATATTTATACATGTGTGTGTATGTGTGTGTGTGCAGACATATATAACTACATTCTAACTGGGGTGTGCACGCGTGCGTGTATATATACATGTGTGTGCGCACACACATATACCTGCATTGCAACGTGGGCGTGCACGCGTTTGAGTAAATATACATGTGTGTATGCAAACACGTATACGTGCATTCCTACCTGGGCGTGCAGGCGTGTATGTAATTGTTACATATATGTCTACATATGTGTGTGGGTATAGTACCTACCAGCCCCCTTCCCAACAACCCTCACTAGGTACTAGAGTGCCTGTCCAAGCCACTAGTTTTGGTGAAATTTACATTTCATATCCAACATATTGGCACCAAGAAACCAGACCACAGTTTTAAACTGTCTTGCTCACAGTAGGTTGAATGTGGTAGTTACCCCCACCCCTCTTTTCCCCAAATAATTGGATGGAGGGAAGAATAGTAGCACTGCACTCTACTAATAGGTTGAGAGGAATTCTATCCGTGTTCCATAGTTGTGGATTTCAGGCTGTACGACAGACATGGCCAATGAAGACAACTTTTTTCTTTTTGTCAGGGGGCGTCTAGTTGGTCATGTTCTTAAAATACTTGTTTCCACAGCGAGGCGCACACGTCATCTGGGTGTGCCAGGTTCGATTCCAGGCACGGTAACTATAGCTTTCGATTTTTATGTTTTGTGTCTTAGTTTCTAAATCTCCGATTTGTTAATTATACATCTTATCTGTGTGTGCCGATATATGTATATATATTATATTATATATATATATATATATATATATATATATATATATATATAATATATATATAACATATATATATATATATATATATATATATATATATATATATATATATATCATATTTATATGACCTCAAGGGTTCTCCCTCTGTTTATTTTGTGCACTCCACCAAACATGTCGTAAGAGGATGCCAAGGGTAAGGTTGGCTTGTGGTTGGCTAACTTATCCAGTTAAAAACAATAGTCACACACATAAAAGCCAACCAACCACGGAAAAGTCAAAAAGAGAAACAAGAAAAACCCAGCTAACTAAGATGAGGTAAGGCTCTTGTTGTAGAAGTATGACACGGTTAGGAGAAAACCGAAATGAGTCCAGATCGTCGACGTTTCTCCTTTCACCCGGATTTTCAAAAGGGTAGGAATTTATAGGGACGAGAAAAAAAGGGTTTAAAAAAAACTAATAGTTTATGTCAGTTTTACAAAATCAATTAAAATGAACAAATAAAGCGATTAGCCTTCACCAGCAAACAAAGACAATATAGCACACACACACACACACACACACACACACACACACACACACACACACACACACACACACAAATATACACTTACTATTAAATACTACTATTTTCAATACCTCAGTGTTTTTGTGATTTTGTTGTTCCACTTAGCCAAATATTCTTCTTAGACATCGCATTTGCAAGCTATATAGCTGCTTCTCCTAGTGCGTATAAGCTGACCAAGTTTCACTGCCATAAAGCAGAGTGCTGAGAACACAAGTCTGATAGACAAGAGTTTTTCACATTACTATATTTCTTGCATAACTTCAGGAAGTTCTCTGCTCAGAAGTATTTTCGGACCGCTTCATAAGATCTACGCCACGTACACACTGTATGTCATCATATTCATATCTATTTCCAGCCGTCGTGTGGGTAAGTCAAATATCTATCAAATATTCATATCTATTTCCAGCCGTCGTGTGGGTAAGTCAAATATCTATCAAATATTCATATCTATTTCCAGCCATCGTGTGGGTAAGTCAAATTTCTATCAAATATTCACATCTATGTAGTGAGCCCACGTGGTTAAATACACTTATATAGTGAGTGTTTAGGTTTGAACCCTAACAGTGCCCACCCATGTGAGAAACTGGACTAATATTTAGGCTATGTTGATCCTAGACAGTCCTGGATGGCCAAGAAAACAGCGAGTGGCTCGTTCCATTAAATGAAAGTTGCTGTACTTGTATCCACAGGAGTAGGAGAAGGGATTGATAGGTATCAAGATGAACCCAATGAGATAATATCAAGATACACAGTTAACCCCTCCGACTTTCTCCTCTCCTGGCATTACTTTAATAAAAGCCCCCATCACGTGATTTACATATTTGTCAGCTGAAGTAAACTAGTATGCACAAAGACACTTGAACCTAAGTACACAATTTACTGAACTATTTTATAACAACATGAACAAGATTTATTGAATAAATCTAACCAAAAATAAAATAAACGTGTTTAGGCTAGTAGAGTGAAGGTGGTGTTATTGATGAAATTAATTCATATACTTGAATCCTAATTGGAGAAAATAAACCTTGGACAGTTCTCGGTTTGAGAACCTGCCTATTCTTTTCCAGTTTGTCGTCCTCACTGCTTTCAAGCAGGTCGTTACACTCAGACGGTCGGCACAGAATGGATGCCTACTAGTCCCTGCCCAGTGTGGGAACTGTGATAAAGAAACAAGCGCATAAAACATTTCATCTCTCCCTCATTTTCACATTCACTCCTGTCCAGCCTAAAAGGGCTTATGTCTCACATTCAAGCCGTTACATTTCCTGCCTTCCTCTACTCGCGTCCTGTAATGATAGTCAAGTCTTTTATGTCTGATGTCATCTCTCGTACAGACTCAAAATGACAATCAGTTAGGCAGAACAATTTCTGGTATCAATGGTTGGAACAATGTACGCGCCCAGAATGCTAACAATATTTCTGGGGGCGAATCAAATAACAAATCTCAGAGATATACTCTCCGGGATCAATCTCCGCATTAGCCTCCCGGGACTTAAACACATTTCAGTGTGTTAGCTGTATTTAATACAGATTCAAATTAACCACACATGAAAAGACTGCTGCAATTATCTTCACCCTTGTGATTTTAGAAAAATTATAGTTCATTAAATTGCAATGGTAACATCAACATTTAAGTTATACAACATTGAAACACATGTGCACGAAAAAAAAAACATTCATGACACTATCAATTACGACATAAAGCAATGAGACAGTGCCCTACGAGAATGGAGAAATGTCCGCTAAGGAGTACTACAAAGTGATGAAGAGCAAAAAGACAGTTAGATTTCTATCACGAAATAAAGGTTTGAGAATATTTTCGCTTACCTGGAAAATGAAAACACAATGCCAAAATGCCTGGGTTATCTGCTCCTTAAGGTCTGGCTAGGAGATAATTATCTGACACTTCAGTTCTGGAAACAGAATCTCCAGCCACAAAGTCTGAGCTTTCACTTTCACTGGTGCCACTTCTGGTCAGTCTGTTTATTCTTATCTGTACCTTAACACTTTACATCTGGGAAAATGTTTCAGTGTTTGATATCACCAGGAGTTTAGGAGAATTAAATAGGGTTGTTCTGGTCGCTTACTTAGATTTAGGATATATCAAAAACCATATTTTTCGGTATTCTTTAAAATACATAAAAGAAAAAGTAGGTTGAGGAAAGACATTCTGAAGTCACCGAGCGTGTCGTCACAATCTATTTGCATCCGTCATGTGGATAAGTCAAAAATCTATCAAATATTTATGTTTCCAACCATCGTATGGGTAAGCCAAATATCTATCAAATATTCATATATATTTTTAACCGTCGTGTGGGTAAGTCAAATGTTTATCAGTTATTCATATCTGTTTCCAACCGTTGCCCGGGTAAGTCAAATATCTATCAAACAGTGATTTTTAAGAGTCTGTAGATTATGGGTTATGAATGTAGTTTTGTAATTCCTACATACTAGGTTCGATTTAGATGCAGACGAATCGGCAGCTAACCGCTTTGCGTCGATTTCGACAATGACATGAGCCTCGAACTGTTTAGAAAACAATGGCAAGCTACTAAACATAAAATGTTTCAGTAAAACCCCATACTGCCAATAAACGGTGTAAATGATTTACAACGTCCTGTAAAGGATTTAGAATTAACGTTTTTAACCGATTCATTGTGATGTTGCAAGCATTCTTAACTTTTCGTAACAGAATTAGAAACGATTCGAAATAACACTGTCAGTAGTTGATGGCATTAGAACCACCTCTAAATGGCTGGAGACATGCATTGTTACCTCCAAACCCCACGATCTGTAGAATGATCAATGTTCGTTATATGCCAACCACTGCACCTCTAAAAGAAGATCAGTAATTGTGAAATGCCAACCACAACACAACTAAAGAAAAATATAAACTTGTTGTATGCCAACCACTACATCTCTAAAGAAAGAAAAAAGATCAATAATTGTTAAATGCCAACCACTGCACCTCTAAAGAAAAATCAAAACTCGTTATATGCCAACCACTGCACCTTTAAAGAAAAATCAATACTCTTTATATGCCAACCACTGCTCCTCTTTAAAAAAAATGTGTACTCGCCATATGCCAACCACTGCACCTCTAGAGAAAGATCAATACTCGTTATATGTCAGCCACTACACCTTTGAACATATTGTTGTGAATAAAGAAAAAAAGGAAGGCCATCTCACGCCAGTGGCGCCCAGCTACTGATTTGAATGCATAGCGCGACACTGTGAGCTGCAGATTTCATTTGGTATGCTTTACAACTTGCGCAAAGTTTGGCTTGTGTTGTGAACTGCAGGTTCAGAAGAAAAAAAAATCACAGTTGCTAGAGAACTAGTGGTGCCTTATATCATGTGTGCAACTACTGATCTTTTGTACCTTCTGCTCCCATCGACGATGAACTGCATTTCTAGTGTCAGACTGTTTGTGCTAGCACTCCTGACTGCTGCCTCATGCATTTAATGCGCATGTATGCTGCTAGATTTACTAGGACTGCAGTCTGGGATACATTTTTCCCGCATGGAACAGTGATGGACAATTTGTTTGATTTTTGTAAGCACAGGAACGGAGCAGCTAGGGGGCGACCTGTTTGCTATGACGTTGGAACTGCGATTCCCCGAAAGGAAGCAAAGACTGTGAGCCCTATGTGACACGTGAACCGGGTGATAACGCTCATGACACCTCTACCAACAAAAACACGGAGCAACACAACACCATCTGTATCACAGCGGTGACTGTGGTCGCCATTGGCTTCGCCGTGTAGACGACTTTGTCGTCGGTCGGTACAGATATTTGGGTCTTGTCCCTATTGATCTCGGACGTCTATGCCTTCGAGGGATTTTTGATGGCTGAACGTGGACGTTGTGTGTGGTGTTTATATATATATATATATATATACAGATATATATATATATATATATCTATATAATATAGATATATATATATATATATATATAATATATATATATGGGAGTCGGAACGCAGGTTTGGGTTTGGGCGATAGATGCCCGCCTGCGGATCGGAAGGTCGTGGGTCCGCGTCCTGACGGAGCTGAACTTTTGTCCAAAATGACTTTGACTCCCTGGTCGACCCAGCCTTAAGTGGGTACCAGGTGCAATCCTGTGAAGTAAAGGTGGCCGGTGTGGGGCTGACCACATCACCCACCAGGTACCGATTGGTCTATAAAAATCTAGGTCTAGCCCTATGTTCCCAAAACGCCTACAAGAATGGAAAAGGGACATTTATTTTACTTCTTATACGTAGGTTAGGTTAGTTGCGTATCCTTTACAGGACGTTGCAGAACCAACCCCAACAGCCCCTGTCTGTTGTGTGGTTTTTCTAGACAAATTTACGTCCAGTAGTTTGCCATTGCTTCTGGATGGTCAGCTTTCTTGATACCACTGTCGAAACCAACGCAAGGCGCATGGCCCGCAGCTGGGATCGTTCGTATCGACTTAGCCACATAGCCGACTCATTTACATATACACACACATATATAAATGTATATATGTATATGTATGCATGTATTGTTTTTTTAATGTTTTTGCAGTCTATGTCCTGAACATGATGGTTTCGGCGCAGAGAATGATCGTGGTGGTGATGCCTTTCAAAACAAGAACAACTTTCAGCTTTCGATTAAACCTCATCCTGATCACATCCATCATTTTGGTCACGTTTGGCACTCACTCGTACATCCCACAGGCATACTCAGTGCGCCAGATCGGAGAAAACAAGTTTTTGTAAGTCGTCGACGTTGTGTGCCTTCTCCAGTTGTAAACCCCAGCGGAAATACTTGATTGTTCATCCACTTCTGAACTTTGGTTTTGTTCCAGGAGCTGAGTTTATGCGTGTGCATCCATTTTACAAATGTTTTATAAGCAGACTGTTGGTTTCTTGCCTTTCAGGCAGATGCACTCCGACTTTGAAGGAAGCTCCCAATTAGTCGACTCTTATGACATGCTGGTTGGGGAGGCGATGGGTCTTTTCTTGTTTTCTCCACAGTGGGACCCCGGAACCCACACGGGGATATTTGTAGGTGTGTGTGTGTATGTTTGTGGGTGTGTGTATGTGTGTGTGTGTGTAAAAAAAGAAAGAATGGGATTAAAAGATAGCTGCGTATCCTTTACAGGACGTTGCAGAACCAGCCCCAGCATTCTTTGGCTGTTTTGGTTTTTCTAGGCGATTTTGCGTCAAGTAGTATGCAGTTGCTACTGAACGGTCAGCTCTCGGTACCTATGTCGAAAGCAACGCAAAACAAATCGTCTGCAGCTGGGATCGAACCCGGCTTCCCGGCATTACAAAGCGTGTTGGCAACGCCTAAGCCACAGACGGAAGAAGGGGGGGGGGGGTGCTGTTAAATGACCTTTACCGCACCAGAGTTATTATTTGCGGAACGCAGTAAGGTAAAATAGATAGTTGAATGAATGTTGAATTAAGAATCGACATCACATCTCTCAGGATACTCCTATAAGCGCTCCGTCCCCATCTTCAGCAGCAAGAAAAGAGTTCTAATTCCGGTGGCACCAGTAACTGTTTGATTAAAGTAAGTCCTTTATCCAAGCATTCAAGTATATTGGGCATATAGGGCTAGACCTGTATTTTATAAACCAGTCGGCACTCGATGTGTGGTGTGGTCAACATCACGCCGACCGCCTTTACTTTCCAGGACTTTATCTGGTCCCCATTTAGGACTGGGTCGACCTGGGAGCTAACGTCAATTGGGGAAAAAGTCCTGCTCCGTCAGGACATGAACCGACGACCTTTGGATCCACAGACGAGCGTCTAGCCGCTTCACCATGGCGGCTTCCAAGGGTACGAAGTTCTGGTCTGTTTTTGAGCATCATTTTTTCCCAGCAATACTGTAATGGGCACTCTGTGCTGGGTACCGGCACATTTTTCCACCAAGACAATACAAGTCCTGGCTATATTCATTTCTGTATTGACCAATGGGCACTTACCTGGATGAGGGTTTGAACCTAAGACCACTATGCCAGTAGACAAGCATGCTACTTACCTCTGTGGCTATAAGGAGTTGCGAGATCGAAAGACAGAGACGTGGTTTTCCCCCTATCGCCGTCCACAAGCCCATTGGTCTAGCTGGTGATTGATGGACCCCCGGGACCGGTGGGCCAATTTTACTGGGACCGTGATATTATTTGAAGAGAAAACAAAACATAACACTTTTCAGACTCTATATTTAATTTGTGTGTTGTTTTTTGATGAAAGAATGAATAAATGAATGAATTCACATAACTGCATCTCATTCATTCCCATATGTTCTCCGACCCCTTCTTCGTAGCCAACGAAGAGTTGACATGGTAATAGTACCAGCTGCAATATGATTACAAGTCCGTCTCTGCTTCCCCTTCAATGTTGAATATCTCCCAGAACCTCAACTCACGCCTCCCACCGCCCACCCCCCCCCCCCCCCCCCCCCCCTTTACCAACTGTAATAATCTTTCAGTGTTATTATTCTTTCAGTGAATGGAACCCCTTGCATGTCAAAATTGGACGCTAGGCAGGGGCACTGTTTGGAGCCGAGTCAAATTTTTTGCTTCTGCCGGACGGCGGCTGTTGCAGATTTTCTTCATTTGTAGACTTGTTATAGTTTTGTCGCCCAGCTTCTGGGTTAAATGAACGGCGTGACACTGTGAGCTGCAGATTTCATTTGGAATGTTTTTCGACTGTGACCAACGTGGTGGTGTGAATTGTAGATTCAGAAAATGGCGCGCTGCCTGTCTCGCAATGTTGGTGGTGCCCGTATGTGATTAAAATTGATCGCGTGTGCAACTGCTGATATGTTGGTGACTTCTGCTACCATCAATGATAAACTGCATTTCGAATGTCGGACTGTTTGTGTTAGCACTTCGGATGGTTACCGTATGCTTTAATGCGTGTGTATGCTAGATATGCTGGGACAGCAGTCTGTCAATCACTCCACAAGGGACTGTGATAAACATTCTATGTGTTTTTCGTTGGCACAGGAGCGGAGCAACGATGGGGTGACCCGTTTGCTATGAAGCTGAAACTAAGACTACCAGACCAGACTACCAGAATAACTTGCATCCTGAAGTCCACCCAATTCCAGAAAATGTTTAGAGGACTGTGCACCCCCTTCCCCCTTTTAATGTTTTCTTTGTGTCAGCACCATTGTACATTGATGGTTCTGTTTTAGTCATACTTTTTTATTGTTATTAATTTTTCTTTTTACAGGGTCACGAGCAGCCAGTTTTACTTAGACAACAACACGTTGTTTCACGTTACCAGAGACGTGCTCATGGTTTTGTTCTCATTCTGCCCCTTGTTGGTTTCCCTGCTTTCCAACGTGTTCCTTGTATACAGCTTGAGAATCCATTTTCAAAAGGCGCAGGTAAGTTCAATTGTTTCGCTTAGCCTTTCTTAAGGCCATTGTCAACTTAAATTATTGACCAAAAACATCTTCTTCTTCTCTTCCACTTTGTACTTTAGCGAAGTGTCTTATGTGGGTGGGGGCGGTGAGGGCAGGGGTGATGTAACGTTCGTTGATGAGCTATGTCAAGAGCACTATTAAGATTTGTTTATTTCTGTAAGGTTGTTCTTTAATGCCATCCCTCCATCTTTTATTATGTAATCCCCTCGCTCTATACCCGTTGTAACGTTTCAGTGTGGCTCGCTGTGGTAGATAGTACAAGGGCATTCTTGTTAGATGTCCTGACCACTTCATTTGTTGTTCTTTGATGATCTGTAAAACTGGCTATTCCTAGCATTAGTCTGATTTCGTTATTTCGTATTTTGTCTTTTCTTGAAACTCCTGCATCTCTTCAAAGACATTTCATCTTTGTTGTCACAGTTTTACGTTCATTAGATGTTACAAGTGTTTATGTTTGGCACTGATAGCATAGTGTTGGCCAAAAATAGTTGTGATAAGATTCACTTTAGTACTCCTGAGTATCTGCTTGTGTGCCAACAGGGGACATAGTTGCCCCAGTACTATATTAGCTTTGGCACATCTCAAACTAATTTCTCTGTCCAGTTTTCCATTGGATGTGAAAATTGCTCCCAAATACTTGAATTCCTCTCTTTGTCTTAAGGCATTGTTTTTTAATTTCGACCAACAATATAATGTTTTTATCTATCTCCTCGTTTTTTCTTTCATTGTCCTTTAATCTGGTCTTCAAAGCAATAATAAGAGAGGTTGGTTGCTTTGCAAAATACACAACGACTTGGCGTGAGTGGTTGAGGGACTTTGCTGCATTGCGGGATAAAGTGCGAAAGAAGAAAAGAACGAAGAGGAGGACATGTGAGCGCTGCTGTCCAAATGTGTAGAGATGGTAGAATACGTTTGTGTTGTGGTCATTTGCTTCTTGACATCGACTGGACTGCTGTTATATTACGTTGTGCTAGGAAGGTTTCTTTTATGAGAAATCGAGGATATGTAGCGTCCTTTTAAATATTTTCTCCATGGATGCCTGAATGTTGAGAAACGAACAGGTAGATAGACTGGTTGGTTCTGGACCACTTGGTGGTGAATTGATCCTTGTCATGCTGGATGTTGTGGGGGTTCTTTGTTAGAAAGTAAACAGCTAAAAGCACAAAATAGATAATCGCGATCTGAGGAGAATGATGCTGCTAGGAGAGACCTCAGGACCTGGCCGACACTCAAATGAAAGGATTATACAAACTTCTATTGGTGCCATCGGAGTTGGAACTCTGCGCTTGCTGCTGACGATAGCAACGGAGCACTTATGGGAATGTCCCGAGTGCTGTGATGTCTATTCCTAATTCAACATTTGACATTCATCATTCCTTTAAAAACATTTTAAATTTCTTATAGTGCTATAATACTTTGCAGGAAATTCGAGCAATCCAGAGCAGAACAAAAAGTCAGGAAGGTCAAATCACTTACATGATCATTTCTTCGACGCTGGTGTTCACCCTGTTGTCTCTGCCCTCAAACACGAACCACTTGTTGGAAACATTCCTGCCAAACTACGGCGGTCACAAAAATGGCCGGTATTTTTTTAATATCATCAGGGAAGTCTTCTATACACTTTTGGTGCTTGGGTAAGCTGCTGCTTCTTCTTCTTCTGGTTCTTCTTGTTCTTGTTCTTCTTGTTTTTCTTGTTGTTGTTTTTCTTCTTCTTGTTATTCTTTTTTCTTGTTCTTCTTTTTGTTCTTCTTGTTCTTCTTCTTGTCTTTCTTCTTATTCTTCTTCTTGTTCTTGTTCTTCTTCTTCTTGAAGATAATGACATTTGATGATTATGCTGCTGATAATGAGAGCGATGTTGATTACCACAGTGAAATGAAGATTATTATGATGACGACAATAGCAGGAAAAGAAATAGAAGAGAGAAAATCACACACATAACAATAAGGAGGATATTAGAGCGACTGATACTGCTGTCCGGGCATGTTCTATTAGAGTGCTCACATCGGGGGGGGGGGGGCGGGGGGGGGGGGGGGGGGGGGGGGGGGGGGCACTACTCAGTGTGCCCGACCAGGTAGTGAACAGTATGTCATTTTGAAACTTTCTACTCCACTAATAAACATTTGCTGGACTAACAGGTATGCACCACTATTCTGGACCTTCATTCGCCGATAAATGTATATCCCTCACCCCTTCACTGATTAAAAAAAATATATATGGAAACAGAAAGCTGCTGCTCCTTGCTGAATGTTAAGCGTGGGGAGGCCATCTTCAAACTGTCCTTATGACGTCACCATGTTCGTCTGCACCGTGTTGTCAGATGCTCAATACTCTTGATATCCTTAACAGCATTACTGACAGGTTACAAGACAATGACACGGTTACTACTGTTGATATCACAAGTTTAGGATTTTCCTTTGAAGCCCCCTCTTATGTAATTTAACCATACCCCTGGCCAAAAATGGATTTACCATGCAATGTTGAGACTGTGAACCAAACACTTTCTTTGTTTATTTTGACAGTGACATTACAAACTTCATGTTCTACGCATGCATAAGTTCTGCGTTCAGAGGCTACCTGGTCAGCATGATGTCTCCATTGATGAACTGCCTGTGCCGCTTGTCAAAAGAGTAACCTAGCGCAGACTATAATGGAACAGACTCTTGTCATTTTATCAACAGTTGATCAGCCGGGAACTGCAGTCACTTCCGCTTTCTAACACTGACACCAAAATGGTGTACATGCAGACAAACATTAAATGAGTATATTTGATAAACTCTTTCCGTTCAAGGATAATTCGAAACAGATAGAAAAAAAGAACTACAGCCAAACAAAAATTAGTAAATTATTAGTATGGGCTACATAACTTAGAAGTTCAGGCACATTGAGCTCTTCTCCAATAATGTGTACGGGGCTCAGCCTCACACTCCCCCAAAACATGTATATACGTTCTCTTTTTAAGTACGTTTTGTTTAAATACATTTAATATTTCAAATACAGTGATACTTCGGTATACGTCAGTTTTGGTATACATCAACTTCGTATATGTTCTGTTTAGACGAGAAAAATGTTGCTTGGTATACGACCTTTGTTTGGAGTACGACTCGTATAACAGAATTTGCATGAGTAAAAATGAGTCAGAATCATGTGCGCTACCATTGTTTACCTCTCTCATCAATCAAGGAAATATTTGCTAAATAGATGGATGTCAACAACTACACAGAGAAGTACCGCTCCAGACAAGCCGTAATAGCCTTGGCGGGAATGGCCAGGTAATGTCATTTTCCCGAAACATTCTGAGGCGAAGGCAAAATCAAAGAGCTCTTTGGACATGTGGGGGGGAGGGGGGGGGGGAAATAAAAGTCATACATTGTGAGTTTCAAACAGGTCCATCAGTCAATCAATTAGGTGCCGTCTCCACAGTGAAGGCTGGCTGAAATGGATCTCCAACGACCTGACTGACTGACTTTCTACCCCAACCCATGACATCACACAAGTGCTAAACACCCTATAACACAATGTGCCACCATGTAGGTGAGGATCACCGTAGAGAGGTCCCAGAAACCGCGTTCAGCCTTTAGGCCATAGTTTATTGACCAGGCTATATTGCGGCCCCTGGCAAGAGCCAGAGTAGGGCTTCAAATAACGAAAAATTTCATCCTAAAAAATGACGGGAAGTATATAGGTCTTTTCGCCCTGGTTATACACCCTCCCCGACTGCACTGTTTGTCCATCTCTTCATGTTATCTCCCATTTGTATCGCGGTCCACCTCTCACTGTATTACTCTTGACTCCTCCCCATCCTTCACCCAGATATAGTCCATTCCGCAGATTCTCCAAAAAACCTATGTTTTTCTATGTAATACTACATATTATTCTGCATATGCACATGTCCAGAAAGACTCCATTTATATTTTTTCAACTGCTTGTTCATTACTCGAGGGGGGGGGGTGGATCAGGCTGTGTGAGGTGTTGTATACTTTGCAATATGGTTTTGGAAACATCATCATCAGTTCTCTGTTGTGCTAGTGGCACATGAGGCTTCAGAGAAGTCTTTCCATGCTTTCCTGTCCCTGTGCATCTTCAGCTGCAGTTTTCCATGTCAAAGATGCCGCACTCAGGTCACTTTCCATCGTTTCTTCTCCATGTTGTTTTTTTTGGGCGCCCCTGTGTTTCATCTTTCCCTCTGGTGTCCATGTGAGAGCTGTTTTCGGCAGGCATATTAGGATTCATTCTCATAGCGTGGCCAAGCCATTTCCATCTTCTCTTGGTTATCATATTGTCTAAAATTTCTTGGTTTGTGACTTGAAGTAGTTTAGTGTTTGAGATTGTATCTGGCCAGAAAGACATGTGTGGTGGAAGGTAGACAGCTTGTGTGCATCCTTTTTTGGTCATTCTTTAGCATTCCGCTCCATAAAGAAGAACTGGCAAAAGGATGCTCTTGTAGAGTCGGAGTTTCGTTCCTCTGCAATCATTGTTGGATTTCCCCAGATTTGCCTCATCCTTCCAAAAGCAGCTCTAGCTTTGTTCGGACTGACTGTAGGTTCTCTTCGTCCCTCCCGGCAGGGACACCACACTGCCAAGATATGTGGAAATGTTCTACATTTTCAAGAGTTTGGTTACTTATGGTTAATGGTTTGTCGTTTTGGACTGCTTGTCATGATCTTAGTTTTCTTTTGTATTTATTCTCAGTCCCACCATTTCTGATGTGCTGTGTATGTGTTACTTTTTTCTTGTATATGTTCATGTTTATGTGGATAGGTAGTGCTATATCATCTGCAAAATCAAGGCCCTCAAGCCACGGTGAATGGAGTCCATCGTGTGCCTCTCAATGTTCTGTCTACTGTGTTCCTTTAGTATCCAATCAATCACAAGGTTGAAAAGAGAGATGGACATAACACATCCCTG